CTCCAACCTCCGCGGGCAGCGCTGAGTATGATAGATGGTGCACGAGCTGTTCGAAGTTGTATAGCAATTTTCTGGTTTGGATACTTTTCCCTAACGGCTGGTAGTATATCGCCAAAGCAGATGCCCAAGTCAGCCAATCCTCCGGCGGCATCATCTTGTCGCTTTCCTCGTTTTCCTTTCATTCTTAGTGACAGCAAAGTAGTCAGAGTGGATGCACCTCGTTTTGACCTCAAGGTTTTCTTTGTTTTTCGAGCACGTCGGCGACGAGTTTGTTCATCGAGCTAGAAATTTTGATGTTGTTGCGTGCTTTTTAGAATGGCTTGCTCACCTCGACTTCTGTAGCCTCCAGCTCTTCGTCCTCATCATCACTGCAGGTCGTTTTCAAAAGTTCACCAATTTTGGGAGTCTCTGGGCCAATGCGGAAGGACAAGAATTGTTTTCTGTAAGAATTTCATCAGCAACAAAGAATATTATATTTCGGCATTGAGAACCGCTGAGTAGCAAATCAAACATCTATGGTACGACTTATGATATTCAGCTTTCTTCTGAGAAGGTTACGCTTTGTTAACTAGGTAGTGTCCGCTGGATTATCTTAATCACTGAAATGATTGTTTACCTCTGATATGAGCAGATTTATCCTAGGGATGAAACAAGAAACGCTTTGCACTAAAATTTCTACTCTTACATAAAATAAGTTCCGTCTGAGCACCTTCATTTAATGCTTAACGCAGTCAAACTTCTGTTATTGTCCCATTGTTTTAGGCTCATACTTACCTTCCACTTATTACTTATTGATTGGTACTTGGTACACATAACATCTCAATTACTCTACTAGCAAATCTCACACTGTCACATGCAACTCACTGTATACGCATATAATCTCAGTGTCGATGTAATATCTCTCTTATCCGATCATTGTATAACTTTTGTACTTGGCAATAAAGGTTCAATCATACAAATTTTAAGTTGGCTTTGGCTTAATTGCTCCAAAATTCTCTTTCTATGACCTTTCATGGATTTTATGTGTTCACCTGTCGGATTGATTTCTCT